TGGAATTTTGCAGCACCAGCCAATATATGGCTGCAGTACTCCATGAAGTAAGCAGCTGCCCCGACGTGAAGAACCGCCGCACCTTCGCAAGGACTCCTAGCTCCTTTGCAGCTGAGCTGGTCTAGGACTCAATGAACCGCCCGAAGTTCAGGTGTGAGAATATCTCACCCCCTACAACTGAAGGCAGTCTGTGTATTCCAGTGATGGTACATTTCGGAAAGAAGGAGCGAAGGTGAGCTGGCTCTTTTTGTTGCATGGCTGGCATGGAAGAGACATGCTTGTGTTTTTGAGGCGTTGAATTTCACAAGTTTGGCATCGCCCCTTTCGGAGACTACTTGTAGTGTGAGATTCACACGCTCAATCATAGCTTCTCTTTCGGACTAGATTTGATCCGGACTGGCCCGGGGACTTGGTTGGTATCTCTCCACGACTGTACTGTCGTCTGCATACCTATAGTTGATAAAACCAAATTTCTCAAGTGTCGAATGCACCCAAACGACATTTAACAAATTTGGTTTTAGTAAATTTTTGAGCTTATCATTGCATTTAATATATTTTTAATGATGTTGCAATTATATTCAAGCAAGGTGCAGTTTTTTGTACTGTAGAAAGTATCCAATTCTAATTATTTAAAGTAATATCGTCGTTATAAGGTGAACGATACTTAACTATTTTTTATTTCTAAACTACATGGGTGCAGTCTAAATAATTAATATTTTTGAGATGTGCTACTTAAAATACGTCTGCCAGTATTTTTTTTATGTATATACTCCAAATTCATAGGCTGGGGGGGGGGGGTTGGTGGTTGGGGGTGCCGGTATCGGCGAAGTTGGGTGCAGTGGAAAAATGAAGCCACGGTGCCGTCGCCGTGCCGCTAAATGGAAAATCGCATAAGTATGAGATAAAAAGTTCAAGCCAAACCAAAGAGAATGTAAATGATATTGTAATAATCCATCACTATATAACTTGTACGATGTATACCACTTATTATTTTGTGATGTAAATTTATCACAAACTATATAGAAACACTATACGTGTACGCGTATAATTGAGTTTGAGCTTTGAGCTTTTGATTTATGAGTGTAGGTGTACCTATAGATGTGCAAACTCGGAAAAATTATGACTCGAGTTGAAATTCATGTAACTCGAGTTAACAGCACAAATCAGAGTAAATTTTTTGTTACAAATTACTTTTTTATACATTTATTTTTCTGTCTATCTCTGTAGGATTTAAATAAAAAAGTATATTTAGTATGTATCACATATTTATGTATTTTTGGTTTTAATCTTAGTTATAGTAAGTATCTGTAACAACAAATCTAGCTATATAGCAGTCTTCACGAAACAATATTAATCTAACTTTAAGACGTAGGTACATAAGCTATTAATAGTTTAATTTTCACAGTGAACATATTATCCTTAAATAAATAAAAAAAAATCAAATTCAAAATATTTATTGTAAGTTAAGTGTTACATTTGGCGCTAATTTAAAATATCTGTATATGTATCTTAGAACTTAACCACCCTCTTCGAGTATTACAATAAAAGTTCTGTGACTTACATAACTATATTGATTAATTAATCAAAATTATAAAAGAAATTAAATTACATAACTTATCTAATATAAAATTCTAAATAACAAATTGTTTTGTTTGTAGCTAAATACTCTTTGAAACACAAAACATGCACACAAACGAATCGCGCTCTTTCTCAAAAGAGAATGACTGGCCTTACTTGATCCGTTCATGTACAGCAGCCGAAACTCGAGTTAGGGAGATTCAACTCGAGTTAAGCGCAACTCGAGTTAGCTCGAGTTAGTAACTTGAGTTGACCCATCATTAGGTGTACCCAGTGTCTCCATGTACACGGTAATTACCGTAGATGCACCGTAATTTGGTTTTAACCTACCGTAAAGGTAATATGGCATTACCGTGTCATATGTCACCGTAATACCATTGTATACCGTAATGTGCTCGAATGCCGAGTGCGAGCGCATTTTCAGCCAAGTCTATTGATTATTGATTTCAGGCCTACCAACGATATGTTAACTAAAATTAATAAATCCATTTACAAAACAAGTATTGTCATGCTAGGAGAGTCAGATTCAGAATATTATTGTTTTGTTTTATAATTTTTTAAAAAAAAATCTTAGTAATTAATTCAAAGCAAATATATTTGAACTTGATTTTGTTCATAATGTTTCTGCGAAAAATTACACGGTAATTTATACGGTATACTTATTTTATCTAGAAACACCGTATTTTTACCTATGCAACACGGTAACACGGTAACTCTCGATTTACATATGGAGACACTGGGTTTACCCTTAGTATCTATTAGTCTGCATCAGGGCTGCCAGATGTATGATTTAAATCGTACTTCTACGATTTTTTGGCGTTTTTACTCATGTACGATCGCTAGACCAAGATCGTTCGGAAAATGTATGACTTTTAAAGATAATTTAATATTTGGGAACATTTTATATACTTATCTACATTTCATAATGATACGAACGTGCCCCATCGACAACTATAAGTTATGTTCGGGGAATTCCTCGACAATCTTATGAGTGCCTAAATCTCTTACTTGAATGAAGACCTTTTGCACAATCACGTAAAGACTGTATTTGTTTGAATTATTATAAAAATAATTATTTTTCTCTTTCGGTAATAACTGCGACTTGTCAAAAACCTGTTTTTCTTATCAGTTTAGTCTCGTTCTGTATCCAGTTCTGAGTTCTTTTTTGTGTTAATTTAATTAGTTCAAGCAAGAATGAGTGAACCTACCAATGCTGCTTCCAGTAATTACAGAAATAAAGTACTTTAAATACTACCACTCATTATACTTGTCCCAAGAGTAGTAAACCCGATGACATTCAAACAATCCAAGCAATAGATGATGAATGGCGCAGTTTTCCCAACATTGTAAATAAAATTGACTTAATTTAAAATATCGACGAGTTTTGGGATGTCATCAAAAAATAGTTTGAAAATTATAAAGCACTGACTTAATTCGGTTTGAATTTGTTATGTTTGCCCTATTCTAGCGCCGATTGTGAACGAGCATTTAATGAATTTAATTTAATTAAAACAAAACTTATAAAACAGTTTACCCAATGAAACACTGAATGGAATATTATTAGCTAAGCAACTGATAAGAAGCAAAAAAAATAAATTGTACGAAGTATAAGTCAACAGAAGAAATGTTGAAAATGACGACCTCAGCAAATTGGTATAACTATAATAAGTGGTTGTAATATATTTTTGATCATCGCTTAACAAATTTTTGTTACTTTAAATAAAAGCTGTTTACTTTTAGATTGTACGATCTTTTTATTTTAAAATCTCCCTGACATACGACTTTTTTATATTTGGCGTACGATCACACGTTTTTTCCATCTGGCAGCCCTGGTCTATATAGGTGTTAGTCTGTGTTATAGACTAGATAGAGAATGGCCTGTGTGTACCCTTATCGTTATCGGCGTGATAAGAGCATGAAGTTATAGATAACTATAACTTCATGGATAAGAGTCAGATATTGATATTCAAAGAGTATAGTAATATATAAGGAAGAAGGAAGTTGATATTGTTGCAGTTAGGTTATTCAGGTGAATATTGTATGAGAAGTTGCGAAGAGAAAGAATCGCTACGTTTTGTAAATTATGGTCTTGTTATGTTATTAGTTTAACCTTTACGTCATTTGTGTGCGATAATTTTTTTGCAGACTTAAAAGTAATAATAATTATTGTATTGTTTACTGCTGTTTGATAAAAAATTCGATGTATTTTCTTTCATTGTGCATTGCCAAAGGTATTTCACTAGAATAATGTATGACCATGGTTAAGGGGTTAGAGTACCTTCTACCGTTGAAGAGTGGCTACTGCACCAAGTGTTCTTAGTTTAAATACCAGTCAAAACCAGATTAGTGCAAAAAAAGCATATAATTGGTTTTGAGGTATGCTTGTGTTGTAATTATCTTTGCATCTGTCAAATATATGTATATAATAATCTCTGCATTCATGCCAATCTTACCATTTAACACATAAATGTTACTTCATAATATTATGTACTCATATCTTGGGAAGTGTGAGTGAACTTTTGAGCCATCAACTGGGCAGAAGAATAAATTATTCTTCTGCCCAGATGATGGCTTAATATTTATTTTGGCATTTAATTTAGATCCAAGTAGTTATAATTTATGAATTAAAATTGTAATGTGTATAATAAATATTTGATAGATTTATTGTGCTTGTTGATGTGGTCATTTACATCTACATTTATCTTTGTTTGCGAATTAAAATGCAGATGCATTGTCAGCTGTGAGGACTAAGATAGAATGCCTCTTTTCCAGTAAAAAGGGTCTCCGGTTCTCTATACTCACCATACGAAATATAGCAGCATTGAGCTGCTATTTTAAGCTGGTTTTCTGCGGTTGAGCCGACCCATTCATGCTACAACTATTCTATTAATATAGCTGCAGCATGGCTCTACCACGTAAAAATCTTGAATAATATTTAGATTTTGGGTCACATAATCGTAATAAATTTTAATTAGTTATGAAATATTATTGTTTAAATTTATATTTTCATATTTAAGTGAATTATTGTATACTTATGAGAAATAAACATATACCTATCTTGTATTCTACAATATGCATCCTTTATACAGTAATGATAAAAATTCTTAAATTGTCAAATTATTTCCTTCTGCAGGATGAATAATGGAAATTGAGCATGTTGTCACTATAAAAATCTTATTTTTTGCACGATCAAAAGAATTAGCTGCGACTCGTGAGGCAACAATTCAGCTACCTCAAAAAATAAGTTACAAATCACTATTGAATATCATTATTGAGAAGTACAATCTCCATTCAATAAGGGACAACATTTTATTAGCTAAAAATGAAGAAGTTTGTGAGGAATCTTTAGAGTTGGAGCTTAGTGAGCGGGATAGGATTGCTGTGATCCCTCCTTTAAGTGGCGGCTAAGTTGTACATCAGCTATGGATCATTTGAAGTTAACAGTGGATAAGCTGTCAGTAGAAGCTGTAAGTGATTTGGTTGTGGACGACAGCTGTGGAGCTATTTCTGTTTTTGTAGGAACAACTAGAGATAATTTTGAGGATAAAAAGGTTGGTTACACTTAGTCTTAATCTTATTTGTAGTTTTCCATTAAGTGTAATATATTTAATTTTCTGATGAAAAAAGCTAGCAATCGAGGAATAATAAATGTTTTCTTGCTCTCCTGTAATTTTTTGAAAAATTGAGGTTTGCCCCTTTGCGGCTTTTGACAGCAATTTTGACAGCATTTCTTCCTGTATGTCTATACTTCGCCTTTGATCGTAAAAGAGCCTAGCTCTCTTATCACCAGTGTTGACAAGTCGCACAAATAAAGTTCATTTAGGAAATCATAATAATAATAAACTTTATTTATATTAAAGTGATTGTAGTACATGGGTTTGACATTACATTGTTTGTACTATCCATAAAATATGTCCTTCAATCTTAGGCAATTCACTGCACATCAACCCCATGGACTAATAATACTTGCAATAATTAAAAATGGTTGTAATTTTATGTAACTGGTTATTGTGTTAAATACTTTTATGCACATACATAGTTATTATTAAAGTTAGGTTTAAATTATGTTAGCAATTATATAGTTATCTTGTAAATAACTATATAATTGCTAACATAATTTTTGTGGCATTCCTTGGGGGAGACCTGTGTTCAGTGTTGGGCTTGTGAAGGGCTATAATGATTGAATGAAAAATTTATATTTTGTATGTTTAGGTAGGTAGGTGTATTTGTATAGTTCTGATAAGGTATCCCCTGATACGGTATATTGGAGGAGACCTTATTGAGACCTACCAAAATATATAATAATATATAAAATTGATCCACTAATATAATTACAAAGAGCAGTCACATATTTTTAACATCACCGGTATACACCGAGCTAGATATCCTAACTATATAAAATTGCCTCATACACTAATGTGGAACATCACACATTAAACAACAGAATCATAAACATATGGATTAAGTTGCCTCAAAACGTAGTTGATGCCCTCTATGATAAGTTTTAAAAACAGACTAGACAAATGGTGCAAAGACAATCCGATTTAGTGTATTCTTTGGTTTAAAGAACTTTGAAAGAAATTTCTCATGAATACACTTGTCACTTACATGAGAATGATGATATCTATATTATAATTGTAATCCTAGTGTTTGCGGGTAGTAAAATAAACATTGGTCGATTGTCAACCAAGAAGCGAGTTCATTATTAGGGTTCCATACCCAAAGGGTTAATCAACAGGACACTATTACTAAGCCTCCGCCTTCCTTCCGTCCGTTCTCCTGTCTGTCAGCGTGCTGTATCTCATGATCTGTAATAGGTAGACACTTGAAATTTTCACAGAACGTGTATAATTTTCTTTTAAAAAAATTTATTGAAGTCGCTTCTTTCACATGTTTTGGAAGTTGATTGTATAACTGTGCTTCCCCAAATGTTATGTTATTTTTACCATAGTTGGTTCTAATGGTAGGTATTCTTGGTGTGGGCTTGGACTATTATAGAACACCAACACATATAGGCATATCAGCTATAAGCTGCTCGCCTATTACTACATAATAATAGTAACATTTTTAAGATTCAGTAGGACTCATAACGAGACTGACTAAACACAATATGAGATTCTTATGTCCTCTGTTCAGGTGGTGAAGCTGGAGTATGAGGCATATGAACCAATGGCATTGAAGGCCATGAAGAGTATCTGTGATGAAATTAGAAGCAAGTGGCCCGCTGTTCATGGTATCGCTATATATCACAGGTATGTAAGATTTATTTCTAGATATTTTTAGTTTCTAGATATTTTTAGTGTCTCAAAATTAAGACGTATCTGAAAGTTGAGAACGAAATACAGCAAATAACCTGTTTGTCTTGCAGTTGTCTCATAATGATTTAGATTTAATAAAAGTCCCGCTGTACCAGCAATAACAAAATAAGTAGAAACATTCTAATGTCTCTTACACAAATCAAAGCCAATAACAGGTTTTCTTTTATGAAATTAATGATTCTTTTGAAAGAATAAATAAATAGATTATGTCTGAACAAAGATAAATGCCTAATCTATTTTGAATATAATTCTGTTTCTAATAAGTCGATTTAAAAAAAGGAGGTTATGAGTTAAATGTTTTTATGTATGTTATGTTGTCTTCGCCAATTGTGAACCGATTTTAATTTTATTATACATTTTGGAAGAAAATAATCGGCGATCTTGCACCCTAAAATTTAATAAAAACAAAGGTCGACGAACGAGCACACAGTCTACCTCCTGGTAAGTGGATGCTGTGGCCCATAGAGACATCTACGTCTATTCTCGATCAAGAATCAAAATTCAGATACGTTGTCACCCTTAAGGTCTATAAGCTGCTATTTTACGCTGATATTCTGTTAGAGCGTGGTCCTTTCCCGGTCGAGCCGACCCATTAGTGCTACAACCATAATATAGCTGCAGCATGGCTCTATCATGTTTTTATTATAAATAACTGTTACCCGTTTTTTGTAGTTTTCATACGCATAACCAGACACTGACCTCAGCCGGATGCGAGTACGATGAACCGGTTTTTTTGAAAGTGCTATCTGTACATGAACTAAATAATTATTTGTATTACAATACGACTTAACGCTTACTGGCGATAAAACGATCGGTCCTTACGGGGATATTGCTTGAGGCAATATTTACGGGATTTATAAATACTATTGTTAGTAACCTCGTACCGGCAGTGTAGTGTGTACCACTAGATGGAGTAACGACCTGGTAAGACATGGAAGTCGAAGGATACAGGTGGCTTGGGACCGTGCTTTGTGGCGTTCTTTGGGGGGACGCCTATGTTCAGCAGTGGACTTGTGAAGGTCTGTAATGATGATAATGATGATGATAAATACTATTTAAAATTACAAAACAATCGAAAATTATATATACCGGTAACGGTAACTGGGTATAATATAAGCGTGTGCGCAAACCCGAAATATGAAAGTATTACTTCAAGGCACAGGCAGTTGGCCTTACGTTCAAATAGTTTATTTTTATGGAATAAGAGTAACGAACGATCACACAATCCACCTGATGGTAAGTGGATGCTGTGGCCCATAGACATCTACATTTTTCCTCGATTAAGTATCAAAATGCAGATGTGTTGTCAGCCCTGAAGATTTAGATGGAATGCCTCGGTTCCAGTAAAAAGGTCTCCGGTTCTCTACATTCACCAGTCCACCATACGAAACAAAGCAACATTAAGCTGCCATTTTACGCTCGTATTCTGTGAAAGCGTGGTCCTGTCCGGTCGTGCCGACCCTCTGTCGCCTCTTACCGACATCACCGGGACGATTTGGGGTAGTGTATACTCTTACACCTCCAACGTAATACACGGTTGTACAGTACGGTGTTTACAAAAAATGATTTGCACAATAAATAGGATGTATGTAGTTTAAATTGCACGCATCGCCGGCGGCCTTGGTTCATCGACGTTTGTCCAGCAGGTCTCATTTCTACATACTTACGTACCTATGTAAATTTGAACATTGATAAAAAACCTGTACAAATTAACATTAATAACAGATGTATGCATTTACAAGACAGGTTGCTTATATTTAAATAAAACACGTTTTTATGGATTTTATCGCGCATATTAACTTATTTTCTACCGACTTCCAAAAAGGAGACGGTACTCAATTCGACTGTATGTTTTTTTTATGTGTGTGTTACCTCATAACTTTTTAGTAGGTGAACGGATTTCGATGATTCGTTTTTTATTTGAAAGCTGGTGCTTCACATGTGGTCCCATATAAATTTGATCAAGGTCTGACCAATAGTTTTTTGAGTTATTCTTAATAATTTATATTGAAGTTGGTTGTACAAGTTTTTTAATTTTAAATTATATATTCCCGACGTTTTGAGCACTTTACAGGGGAGAACTGAGGTGTTCGACGTCCTAATGTCATAGTTGTTAACTAGGGCTACCTTTATATTCAATTAAAGATAACAGTATGAACTTATAGCATCTTGAAGTCTTGCAGTTGTATATTTGGGCTTGGGCAAACATCATTCAGGATGCAGGATGACTTTACTACGTAATTCTTAAGATTTTAATGCGAGACTGCAATGACCGTTACAATTCACAATGACGAAAGATTACAAATTATTATTCTACCTACATTACAGTTTTATTACATACTAGCTGTTCCCCGCGACTTCGCCCGCGTGTAGTTTTGTGTTTTAATTATATTGCTCAGAACCCTAATTTTTTTTCTCAAATATAAGTAGCCTAAGTTACTCCTTAGAACATCAGCTATCTGCCAGTGAAAGTCCCGTCGAAATCGGTCAAGCCGTTTCGGAGATTAGCCGGAACAAACAGACAGACAGAGACAGACACAAAATTTTTAAAAATTGTGTTTTTGTTATAAGTACCGTATATACATTCATATGCATTTAGCAAAAAGCTGTTATTTTAACATTACAAACAGACACTTAAATTTTATTTATTTGTATAGATTATATATCTTGTGTTATGCACTTACGGATAATACAAGTATAATTTGACCTAAATATTGTCGTCAGACGTAATTTCAGTCACGGCGGTCAATCTCAACGTAAACTCACACAAGATTCAATCACAGTTACAGAATACCAGCGTAAAATAGCAGCTTAATGCTGCTGTGTTTCGTATGGTGAGTGTAGAAAACCTCGGAAAATAGAATCCACTAAGAAGGGTCTCCCCTTAGTGGATACGTGGCATTCCATCTTAGTCCACAGGAGTGACAATAGGATAGGGAGAATATAGATGTAGATGTCTATGGGCCACAGTAAACACTTACCAACAGGTGGACTGTGTGTTCGTTTGTGACACGTATTTTACATAACTCAAAATTTAAAAAACCTCCGCAAAGAACAGCTGATGACCTTGAAATGGCTGAACCGATTTTGATAATACATGTTAAAAAAAACACCCGTTTAAGAGCTACAGTGTCACAGACAGACAGATAGACACATAGCGGTCAATCTTATAACACCTCTCTTTTTTGCACCGGGGTTAGAAAAAATCAGCAATCAGTACAGAACAGGATTATAGAAAAACCGCTGCTATTTCACGCTGATATTCTTTGCGTGTGAGAGCGTGGTCCTTCCCCGGTCGAGTTGATCTATTCTTGCTGCAACTATAGCTGCAACGTGTTTCTACCACGTAACTACATGATAAGTAATTCCAAAAATGCGCGCAACGTTGCATGTCTCCACGCGGGGCAGGCACATTAGCACAAAGTTGATATCTTTGCAATGGTAATTTTTCAATCACCTATAGATAGGACAACCTTATGGTAGCGGCGTCAAATAATCCATCAACCATGGTCGTCAACCTGTTTTTAGTGTCGTAAATAGAAATACAAATAAAAACTTTTTTGTTCAATAGCTAATATATAATCTTTTAAATAAAAATTAATATTTGTTTTTTCGTATTTTATGAGCTACCATACCGTTAGTCAGATTGCGGTAAAACTTTGTCAACCTCTGCAAAGTCTACTTAACCTGAGGATGCCTCGTGTAGAGGCGAAACACGTGTCGTATTTTCGAGAGTGGTGTGTCGTGCCTAGTGTGGTGGTGCTGGGGGTGGTAGTGCTGGGATTAACGGCGACGGGTATAGTGCGCGCGATTAAAGGAGGGTGGGAGGTCCCCTTAAAACTGGGCAGGACATCATTTTCTTTCTTTACGCGGAATTAAGCAAATTAGTTTATAACAACCCTATTATAATGGATTTCCGCAAAGTAACGCCTGATTCTATCAATTATCTTTGTCAACTTATTGCTTGCACTTGCGCGAAGGTTATAGGCATAGTGCAATTAACTTTCAGTAGGTATAAACGTGGTAGAGCCATGCTGCAGCTATATTAGTAGTATAGTTGTAGCACGAATGGTTCGGCTCGACCAGGGAAGAATACCAGCGTAAAATTGCAGCTTAACACTGCTGTATTTCGTATGGTGAGTGTAGAGAGTTCTCTACACCTTTTTACTGGAAAAGAGGCATTCCATCTTAGTCCTCACGGCTGACAACGCATCTGCATTTTGATTCGCAAACGAGGTTAGATGTAGATGGCTACGGGCCACAGCAACCACTTACCATCAGGTGGACTGTGTCCTCGCTTGTTACCTTTCAGTTTATAATCATTAAAGTTACACAATAATTAACAACACAAAACAAATTAGAAATAGCACGGTAGTGATCAGCTCATTCAAGAAGTAAGAGGCAACTATGGAAAGTGTCAAAAAATCAACTACCTTATATACTAATATTTTTTGTGGAAGAGGGGGCAAACGAGCATATGGCTCACCTGATAGTAAGTGATCACCGTCGCCCAGCAACATCTACAACACCAGGGGAATTGCAGGTGCGTTGTCAGCGTTTTAAAAATGACTAGGCTCGAACTAGGCTCGTTTCGGGCAGAAAATAACGCCGGTAAACGATTCCACAAAGAAGTCGTACGAGAAAGAAAACTAGTAAATCGCACAGTGATGGCCTGCCAAGCATCTAGATAATGTGAATGAATTTGGCGGCTGGAATTAATCCGAACAATCCCTTGAGCACTCCCCGTGGTAAATGCGATAGAAAATACAAAGAACGAAAGAGCCAGTGAATCGAGAAGATTAAAAAGAATTCTGTCTTCGACAATTCGAGCCGCTCTTCGCTGGATGCGGTCGCTTGTCGCCCTTATTCTATATAAAAAAAACATGTCCTGCAGGTTGGGGGAGGTTCCTTGCCGTGAGGCGTCGCTGGTGGTGGCGGTGAGCAGTCCCCACCGCCAAGACTCGCTCCAGGCCACGGCTTTCTGCGTGGACCAGCTCAAGGCCAACGTGCCAGTGTGGAAGCGAGAGCTGTACGCTGGTGACCACGCGCCCGTCTGGAAGGAGAACCCTGAATGTGCGTGGTCCACTCACAGGAAACCTGCTAGCAGGGTCTAACACTGGAATTCGTATTAAATGAAACTAATTTTACAGATTTTATCGCGTTTAATTTTAACTATTCTAATTTTTTTATTTCCCGAAGTTTCGGGCTTCGGGACTGAGGTGTTTGATGTCCCGATGTCATATTTAGCCTGGTCTATTAACTTTAAACTTTTGAATCGGACCAAAAATTAATAATATTAATATTTAATAATTGAAGGTAGCCGGGCTTATTTAAAAACGCGATAGCATCCGTAAAATTAGTTTCATTTAATGTGTAGTATTCGCGTAAATACGAGTTTAGGAAATTATTACTGGAATTCATAGTCAAGATAGGGGCTCTCCTTGAAGACGATGGAGTTGCTATGTGTCGAATTTAACCTTTATGCATTTATTTCATAGACAAAATAAACCGCCGAATTGGACGGATGTCGGGGATTAGTTACTGACTGTACCGATTTCGACAACCAAACAATTCCCTAGCGTTATAACTCCATATCATGAAAGGTGCATTGGAGGAATTGTATTAGCTTTAAAATTGCTAGTTATGTCTTTTTTTATTTATTTATTCATACAAAGATGGAGTACATTATTATCTGCGACATTGCTTACTTATCCGTCTTTCTTCTGTAATTTCATTTTTACTTACGTCAAATGATTCGTACGAATAGAATGAATAAATTTTAAATATACTATGTACATTGTCTAACTTTCTGTAACTGTGTGTGTAGTGTACTTTTTAGTACAATATATAAAATAATTTTCTGAAAATAACCAGTGAAATAATTAGAATTAGAATTTCAACTTTACTTTCATTTGTTTATTTTTTTAATTTTTATTTACTGTCGAAGTGACACGTCGGAAGAATTTTCATGGAAAACATAATGAGCTAATAATCTTGCGCTCACCAGATGTCGCTAGTTGACACTGAGGTGAAGTTTTTTTTGTTACACAGTGCAATTTAATTGAGAAGTTAGTTTTAATAAAAGTATCAGTTTCTAGAGTATTATATTAATACAAAAAAACAATGTTTTATTGAGTTTCTCTTTAATTTTTTACACATTTTGTAACATTTTCTATATCATTTTTCCTCTTTTATGAATATCTGTGGTTTAGTTTATTTATAACAAATCTAATTAATATAAAATATAACTAATAGTACAAAAAAAAACATTAACCTTTACATTTTCCGAACAAATTAACTTCCACGCTATGAAATCTGTCAAATAATACATCATCATTTTTAAGTGGCGCCGCCCTGGTGGCAGAAAAAGTCATGGATGTCCTCATTAAATAATAGACAATGACGCAGGGTGTAATTCTGTTCTGGCAGGGGATTTTTCAGTGACTGTTTATGAAAGAACATCCAACCTGTAGGTAAATGTTGAATGATAAATTCGGGAGAACTGTTTAGTGTCCACCCTTTGACTATGAATTGTAGTAATTCCTTACGCGTACTTTTTTATCATTTGTTTTACGGTACAAGATTATATGTTATGTTAATGGGACTCTCTCGTGAATATTTCATCATCATCATTATTATCAGTCTACTGCTGGACATAGGCCTCCACCAAAGCGTGTCACTTAGCCCGATCTTTGGCTTCGTGCATCCAGTCGCAGAACGTCACTTCATCTAGCCAGGGGGCATCTCACACTGCGTTTACCTAAATGCATTCTCCACTATATGACACGCATACTCCATAGTTTATCGCTTCTGCGTCAGATCTGACCATTCCATTGCATCTTTGGCACATGAATATTTAAGTAAATGTAATTTATGTTATCATCAATCATTTTTTTTTTGGCTAATAATAGATTCTCGAACAATCCATTTGACTACTGTTTCCTTAATGCTGGTTATCATTTTACCCGACTGTCCCAGAAGGAAGGTAATGTTTTTGAAAAGTATGTATGTATGTCTATTTCATTAACACGCTCTGTAGTCTAAATGGTTTGATGGATTTTAACATATGTCGTTATGAGGTGTCGTTAATTGTGGACGTGACATAGGGTATAACATTTATCTCTTTTCAGTAAACTTTTTTACGCATTCGAATTTTTTAATCACAGTTTTAACCTTTAAGCTTGTCATTGCAAGGTTTCCTTACCTATATTAAGTAAATCCGTCGTATAAATTCTGAAGCTTCGAAATTGGTTATCCTGTCAGATGTTAGTGATGACCATTTTAAAGTCTTTCTTGTTCTAAGTTACTGCCTAACTTAAGTATATATTTGGAAAATACTTTAATCACAATTAAAAATACCCAATCATCTGTAATATTGTACCGTAAAATAAATTAATAATAAATAGATTTAATTTTTTTAGAGAAAATAAAATATATTATTACACCATGTTGAATTTTTAGCTCAATTACTTTCAAACGCTCGTTTGAACATGGTAGTTAACTTTTAACTGCTATGAGGTAGCAAATTGTTGTTTGTTTTTATTTTTAGATATATTTTAATAATTATTTGCACTTTATAATTGTGGTTGTACTAAGTAACTAAGACCATGGAAATTGGAATTGGTATCAATATACCAATTCCATTTTATTTTTGTTAGTTTTTTTCATCATTTCGTAAATCTCATTTTAATATAGCTTTCTGGGCGTTTTTCAATCAAAGCATAATATATTATAAATATAGCGTTAATGTTACAGGAACCGTGGAGCTTAGCTCTTATTAGACTAAGAAAAAAATCATTGTTTTCAATGAAATTTTAGATTTTTATATATTTTGGTTAAACCAAACGTGTTGTTTTCCTTTTTATTAAAGTCGTATAACTAGATATAAGAGTTAAAATGTTGTCTACTAAATAAATGTTTATTTCTGTTTGTATGTGTTGTTTTTTCATTTTACTATGTTATGGTCCTTTTGAGCCGGATTCAGTAGTCATTGTCCAAACTATCCTTGCAGGTGCATCCCAACAATCACCACAAAAACCACCAACACCACAGAAAACTCCAGAGAACGTTGCAGACAAAAATATGGTACAAATAAATGTATCGAATGAGGAACTACAACAAAGAATACAACATTTTATCGAAAGAAAGAGAGAGCAAGTGAATATCAGTAACATAGTAGACTTTATACCCGGTTATAGTGAGAGCGAGATGCAAGATTCGGAGACGTGTGCAAGAGTGAGAACGCAGTTCGTTAGAAGAAGCGATTCTAAGAGTCATTTGAAGAGTAAGTTTAGTGTAATTAAAACCTTTAACTAATAGCTTCATTAATGTTTGTTATGATATTCTTAACTAATAATTTCTAAAACATACGTCTCACCATAAAAATTACTAATTAAACGTAATTAAGTAATTGATTTTTTGAATGTGTGGGCTATAGAGATATAGACTAATTATTTAAAACAATTTTTTTATTTTCAATGCTACACTATACACACAAAAGTAGATATGTATGTATAAGAAACGAAGGAGATGTGTTTTATCATACGAGGGGTGTTCAATGTATTCTCGGTACTAGGCTGATTTGCTAATAATGTGGGTAATTAAGAAAATTCATTAGCTAACGACACTACGTGAGGGTATAAATATGAAATTTCGTCTTGATTACTTTTTATGTAACCTTCACCCTTCAGTCAGAGGATGAGAATGACTAACTTGACAATGTTTAAAAAAATTGAACACCGTGCGGTGATTAAATTCCTCACTAACCAAGGAAAAACTCAAAAAAACATTCGTGAAGAAATGGTGGCCGTTTACCAAGACTCTGCTCCTTCAATGTCAACCGTACAGAAGTGGTCAAGTAAATTCAAAAGAAATCACAGCGGCTACAGAAGAAAATCTGAAAATTATTGAAAATCTTGTATGAGAATTAAGATGTTAGCAGAAATGACTAACCTATCCGTTGGTACCATACACACCATATTGCATGACCATCTCAACCTCGCAAAAGTCAGTGCAAGATGGGTTCCGCGAATGCTCACTCCGCTACAAATGCAGGCGCGGGTTGACTATTATAAGGAGCTTTTAGAGCTGTGTGGTGAAGACCCAACAAGTGTTCTCGGTAGGATAGTTATAGGACATGAAAACTGGGTTTACCACAATGACCCTGAAAGTAAACAGGATGCAATGGCATTAAAAGGGATCAGACCCCCCCAAGAAGTTCAAAGTCACTCAATCGGCCGGTAAAATTATGGCCACAGTGTTTTGGGATTTCAAAGGAATACTTTTGATCGAGTACACAAAAAAAACTGACCAAGAGAGTGCTGCTTCTTCATGACAACGCACCGGTTCACACGGTGCGGCTCTCCAAAGCCGCTGTATGAGACTGCGAGTTTGAGGAAATTAACCACCCACCATACCGCCAAGATCTAGACCCTAGTGACTACTTTTTATTCCCAAACTTAAAAAAGACCTTCGAGGAAAGCGATTTGCTGACGATAATGAGCTCAAGTCCGCTGTAGATGAGCATATTTCAAGTCAAGACGAAGAACATTTTTTCAAGGGAACAGAAAAGCTTTTTTCACGAACAAGTAAAATGTTCATAATTCATTAAGTTCATGGGAGACTATATTAAAAAAAATGGATTTCATAATTTTATCTTTTTTTCTACCTAGAATACATTGAACGCTTTATTAAATAAATTCTACATTATATCATTATCAACAGTCTTTTACCCACTGGTGGAGATAGGAAATTGTAAAGTTTTTGTCATATTTTTTTGTTGCAGGGATTATGGTAGCTACGTATTGTAACTTATTATAATAATAATTTATGTAATGTACGTGCTTTTCGTGGCATGGTGGTGAAACTCGCCAACTTCTTGACTCTGGGCTTGTGAGAATTTCTTGACAGAAGAACTCAATAACTGTTATTTGCCTCGACCCAGAATCCGAATGTGGGACCATGTGATCAGCAATCGCGTTTACGATCACTAGAGCAACGACGCAATCAAATTATCTAGTATACTTTGAGTGGTTCGTTGTAACTAACCTTATGCTATGTATCGGTACACAGCATCTGTGAAGCATTTGTTTTAGTGAAATTTTATATACCCTATTGAAAGAAACAGGTGTTTACGTTCTCTATTAGTTACGTTTAGTATTGAAGATCTTAATGAGTTGGTAAAGAAAAAGTGAAATTAGTTTTAACGCGTAAGAGTCAGGGGCGGATTTGAACTTTATGGGGCCCGGGGCTAAAATTGAGAAGGGGCCCACTTAAGGACAGCGAAAAAGGCTATTTATCAAATATAAAATAAAATTTCTTTATTAATTTATTATAAATTATTTATAGATACAATGAAGTACAAACAATTATTTTAAAATTCGATTAAAAACTTTTTTTCTTGATTTTGCTCTAGCAAAATCATGAATTAAGTTATCGAAGTCAATTGATCTCAATAAGTCGACTTCGATGCTTAATCTTGTTAAAGATGATAGTCTGTCGTCTGAAATCGTTGATTGATACATGTTTTTTATTTTTTCGAAACTGAAAATGATCTTTCTGATTCGTAATTTACGATTGGAAGTGTAAGTAGTATCCTGTAAGCAATATAGGTATACGGAAAAACTTGTATCATGTCTAAATCTACAAGCCAATTTAAAACTTTTAAGGGACACAAGATTTCATCATTTGCACTTGTGTTTTTTTCCTGTACAATTGGAAAAAAAGCCCTTAGGCTGCCGTTTTAAACATGGTATAAATTGTTTCAATTCAACTGATAAATCTTTTTCTAAATCGTCAGAGTAAACCTTTACGAGATTTGCTACTTTTTTTTCTAATACATCTGTCTCTATAAATAATAATTGTGTGAGAAAGCCAAATAGTTGAATGATGCGATCATTTGCTTCACTCCGTTTCTGCAACTCGGCATCTAATTTGTCTATAATCACATAAAATGTGTTTACTCGGAATTTATCAGCCGGGCTTAAGCTACTAGCTTGTGAGTCTTTGTCGCTTAGCATTCCTGTGACCTTTAGTTTGTTTGCATCAGAATATTCTTGATCCACAAAATTACTTAGTTGAAAATCAAGCCAAACAATGGCTTGATTTTCAACGTCAAAAAATGTATCTCGCAAATCTGTCACAAAATCCACTAATGAAAGTAGCATGTTATTTGCAGAAATTAAATCTGTATCAAGTTTTTGAAGGTATTGACTAGTCGCGTTAAAGCGGCTTAAAACAATATTCCACCGAATCGCCATAAAAACATTTTCAAGTTTTTTTTTATGTTTCAATAAAGCTTCAGCTTCTTTCCGAGTTTCGCGTTTTTGTTCTTCGTCATTCGCTAAAATTTCTAGAGCCATGACTCTTTACTACAACTTTTGTGGCGTCTCCGCGACATGCCCATCTCGTTTTCGATAAACTCGTTATTTTAGAATTCTCAGTGATTAAAATGTCCCAACTATGTGTTGATACACTAAAAATGCATATAGCCGCTGTAAAATTCCGAAGAAATTTGTAGCATCAAGACATACGTCGACACTACATTCTCCCACTAAGTTTAGAGAATAGCCAGCGCAAGACACGTAAAACGCTAATTCATTTTTTTCTCTTATACAAGCTTGAAGTCCAATATATTTACCGGACATATTGGAAGCGTTGTTATAGGTCTGAGCTCTGCAATTTTTAGTGTCGATACCGTGCTCCTGTAGTAAATCTAATACGTCATTACTAAGCAACCTACCTTTATGACTTTTTATTTGTAAAAAGCAGAAAAAACGTTCATAAACGTGACCATCTAAGTAGTATCGGAAAATGACTGACAACTGATCGATGTGGTATATATCTGGGATAGAATCTACGACGAGTCCCCAATATTTTGTACTGTGTATTTCGTCAATAATACGTTTTAATACTTTTGCAGCCATTAACTCTATAAATTCTTCGTATATAGTTTTAGATAAAGAGACTGTACCACTGCCTTTGTGAGCACTTTTTTGCCACTAATTGGCGCTGATTTTATTCCATACAAATTGTATTTAACTTTCTAGGTATCGAGTGCGTAAAAACAACATCTCGCTCTAGGCACACAGAGATATCTCTCTGTCACTACACTATCTAGCCCTTTTTTGTCCCTGCCTCGTTTACTGGCGATCTGGTGAGGTCCTCGTACTCTTTACAACATTACTTACTTATCTTCACGCACAATCCCTGACGGGGTAGCCAGAGAGAACAGATCGCCAAGTGTCACGATCCTTACATACCTCTTTCGCTTCTTTCAGATTCATTATCTTCTTCATACATGCACGTCTAGGTATCCGAGTACTCTTGACCCTGCCCTCTTCGAGCAATTTGCTCACATGGTCTTCGAAAGTTAGTCTCGGTCTACCTCGACACCTTTTAATATTAGCTTTCGCGCTATATATTTTCTTCACCATTCGGTCTTCACTCATTCGCTCAACGTGCCCAAACCACCGAAGCACGCCCTTATCAATTTTTGTGATAAGGTCATCTTTCAAACCTGCCATATTGCGAATCTCTTCGTTTCGCTTTCGGTCGGCCATGGTAACGCCGCACATTTTACGAAGAGATCGCATCTCCACTGCATACAACTTGCTTTTATGCTTCTTCTGGCATACCCAGGTTTCGCTGCCATATAACAAAGTCGGTACCAACACTGCGTTATGTATTGCAAGGCGTGCACTCTTCACTACGCCTTGCCTTTTGACTAACGCAGTCAGGGCACCATTGACTTTGTTCCCGGCAGCGACACGCCTGTCCACATCTAAATCACATCTTCCATCCCGGCTAAAAGCACTCCCCAAGTATACAATTTCATTTACTTGTTCTAGACATTCCTGATTTACCCATATATCACACTTCGTTCTCTCTTCGTCCCTTTCAAATACCAGAACCTTAGTTTTATTAGCGTTCAAACGGAGACCTTTAATTTCACATTCCTCTTTCATACGCGTGACTAATGCCTGCAGTTCTGCCTCTGATGGTGCAATAAGCACTGCATCATCAGCATACAGCAGACAATTTACTTTTATGTCACCCAATTTCACACCCAAACAGCTATCTTTCAGCTTTTGTAAACAGCTGTCGAGATACAGTATGAACAGCCAGGAAGACATGACACAACCCTGTTTTACGCCCGTTTGGACGCTAAACATGGGTGACAGGTCATGCCCTACCCGCACACAGGCTTTACAGTCACAGTAAAGAGACTGCACAGCCCTTAGCAATCGGCCATCCACACCATACCCCGGCAACAGTTCCCACATT